TTTATCATCTTATTAGGGTGAGGGATGTTGAATCTGAAACCCATTCTCTAGAGTTGGTTCCGGTAGTGAATGAGTTCCCAAAAATTTTCCCCGATGATTTGCTCGGTATTCCTCCTAACAGGAAATAGATTTTGGTATTGACCTTTTACCGGATACGCAACGTATCTCCATTCCTCCTTATAGAATGGCTCTGGCCGAGTTGAAAGAGAAACTAAAGGATTTATTAGATAAGGGCTTCATCCGACCGAGTATCTTTCCTTGGGGTGCTCTAGTGTTGTTTTAGAAAAAAGGATGGGTATCTTAGAATGTGCATCGATTATCGTCAATTGAACAAAGTGACTATTAAGAATAAATATCCCCTTTCGAGAATCGATGACTTGTTTGATCAACTTCTAGGGGCTAGTTACTTTTCAAAAATTGACCTTCGTTCAAGGTATCACCAATTGAGGGTGAGAGGGGATATATACCTAAGACAGATTTCCAAACTAGGTATTGGCATTATGAATTCCTTGTGATGTCATTTGGCTTAACTAATGCCCCAGTGGCATTTATGGACCTAATGAATAGAGTGTTTAGGCAATACCAAGATATGTTTGTTATTGTGTTTATCGATGATATTTTGATCTATTTAAGGAGTGAGAATGAACAGGTGGACCATTTGAGGATTGCGTTGCAAGTTCTTAAAGACCACTAACTTTTTGCAAAGTTTAGCAAGTGTGAATTTTGGCTAAGATACATAGCTTTCCTTGGTCATATTGTGTCAAGCAAGGGTATTGAGGTGGATCCTAAGAAGACGGATGCAGTCAAGAGTTGGCCTAGACCTCTAAATCCTTCAGATATTAGAAGCTTTTTGGGTTTGGTCGGTTACTATAGAAGGTTTGTTGAGGGATTTTCTTCTAAACAAAAGAGTGAGTTTTTCATGCATGGTAATTTTGAGAATGCTCTGGTGGATGAGGTGAGGACTGTTACTGGTTTTGAAAGAGGCAAGTTCCTAATCATTTACATGGGCTGTCCCATAATCCATGGAAAGAAGAAAAAGTGTCATTTTTCAGGTTTGGTCAAGAAAATTCATAACAAGTTGCAAGCATGGAAGGGGAAAATGTTATCCTTTGGTGACAAAGTTGTACTGATTAACACTATCCTGAATAACATTCTTATATATTTACTCTCTACTATCAACCCTCCTAAGTGTGTGATATATGACCTGAATAAAACCTTTGCTAGGTTTTTTGGTCTACTAAGGAAGTTGGGAGAAGCAAGCATTGGGTTGCATGGTCTGAAATTTGTAAACCTAAGGAAGAAGAAGGATTATGTTTCAGGTCTTTATTTGATGTAGAAAAAGCTTTGTTTTCTAAGTTGTGGTGGGTGTTCATAACTCAAAAATCACTTTGGTCTATCTTTATATGGAACAAATATTGTAAGAATAAGGGGCCTCAGATGTTTGAATGGAGGGGTGGATCTTAGACATGGAAACATATGCTAGAAGCTAGAGACATGTTTGATCAAGAGATTTGGTGGGAGCTTAGGTGTGGACATTCTACAGTGCGGTTTGATAACTAGACTCATATGGGTGCTCTATATTACATAGTGCCTATCAGATTGTAATTCAAACTTCTGTAAAGTTGTCATAACCATTTCCACAAGACTTCTTGTTTGCTGATACAAATATTATGGTATCATTTGCATAAGCCAAATGGTTGATCTGATCACTTCACTTTGGCATACCAAAGCCTTTAAAGTCAGGAACAAGGAATAAAGAATTAAAAGCCCTAGATAAAACTTCAGCTGTTAAAACAAAAAGTGCTGGAGATAAGGGATCTCCTTGCTTGACACCCCTTGTTGAATGGAAGAAATCTTGTGCTTGTCCATTGATTAGGATTGAATACCAATTATTTGCAAGTAGTCTCCATACCTTGACTGTAACAGCAGCATCAAACCCCATATTTTCCAGAAGTTTAATTAAAAAAGTCCAGTTCACCCTGTCATAAGCTTTGGTCATGTCCAATTTATTAACCACATTTGCAGGCTTACCTCTACATATAATGTCAGCAATAATCTCTTGGGCTAGAAGCACATTTTCAATAATATTTCTCCCTTTGACAAAGCCTGATTGATTTTTGGATATCAATTTCAGCAACAACTTCACCAATCTATCATGTACTACCCTAGAGATTACTTTGTTCAGAAAATTACTAAATCTATTAGGTCTCATATCAAAGAAAGTTTATACATTTTCTTTCTTTGGTAGAAGAACCAAATTAGTATGAGTAATAGAACTTGGGGAGGGTAGCACCTTCATAAAAAGCCTTCACCACCTTAACTACATCCACACCCACCACTTCCCAGGCCTTCTGAAAGAGGTGCCCAGTGAAGCCATCAGTCCCTCGCCGGTTGGTTGTTGACTTGCTCCTGGTCGGCTGCTTTTGGTCGCGGCGGTCGGTCGGTCAGAGCCTCGATGTCGTTGGCCGACACTGGAATGTGGGAAGTGGGAACTGGTCAAGGTCAATTGGGTCGTGGGAAGTGGGACGTGCGACGATGGGAGGAACTGCCGAACTAGAAAAGTTTGAAAAGTAAAAAAAATTGAGAAGTCTTAGACCTAATTTTGCATTTTGCCTATAATTTTTAATACTAATAATTAATATAATATCAATTTATATTATAATATAATGTATTTTGATTAAACCGAAATACCGAAAATACAAAAATCACATACCAAAAACCGAACCGAAATACCGAAAATATGAAAATATATACTGAAAATCGAAATACCAAAAAAATTTGGTTCGGTTCGGTGTTTCAGCTTTTCGGTATTTATGCCCAGCCCTAGGCCCACTGGCACTATCCCATTTAATTCAAAAACCACAGCCTTAACCTCTTCAAAGGTAGAAAGGCTATTAATCATTTCATTCTCCACATCATTGATTACAGTAGGCATATGATCCAGTAAAGTCAGCTCTACCTCTGCCCTTCTATCTGAGAACTGATCTTGGAAGAAAAGCTTTGCTTCTGCTGCACCAACGCCTGGCCCTCTACCCACATACGATTTCGTGATTTTGTTCACTTGTAACCTTCACTTTCTTCCATTTACCAGGCAGTGGAAAAACCTAGTATTCTTTTCTCCTTCAACAAACCATTGGACTCCAATATTCTTCCTCATAATGGACATAAATCTTCAGTTCTGCTTATGCCCTCTGAAGAATCATTCTATTACCTGCAGATAGAGATTCTTCAAATAGCTTTTCCTTGATTCTGACTATTTCCTCCCTGATGGAGAGCTGCTTGAAAATATCTCCAAATTTCTCCCTACTCCACTGAGACAGATGTCACGGACTTAGAGTCTTACTAAAGCTCTGTGCGGCACTTGACAACTTACTCACGAATCTTTCACGATCTTGTAAACTCAAGTAAGCCCTTTAAGACTAGATCGCTAAGAGAATGCTTAATGAAAGACTTAGAAAGAACAAAGAGAGTTTTGGAAAAAGGATTTTGTATTGCTTTTGGAAGATTGCTTTACACTTGAGTGATTGCTTGGATGGTTGGATGCCTTGCAAATGAATGGCACCCCCTATTTATACTAACTCCTAGGGACTAAAGTGTAAATTAAAATTACTTACAAGTCCCTAAGATATTTACACAAAAGCCCCTCTCTAGAATTCTCTACACACTCTAGAGAATTCTAAGGCTTTCCTTGGAAACTATATAAATTATTCTAGAGAATTCCTTAGAATTCTCTAGCCTTCTTGAATAATCTAAAGGGTTCTAGAGTCTTCCGAAAACCTCTCCACAACTCTAGACCCTTCCGCCCTTATCCGGACGCAAAATTTAACTGTGGTGTGGCGGGACGTGACACAGAGCTGTCTTAGTCTTCTTCAATTTTTGCTTCAAATTGATGAATACATCACTCTCTGCTGACACCCAGTTGTTCCTTACCACCTCCAAAAAATCCTCTTATTCTGTCCAGAATTTTAGAAATTTAAAAGGTTTATGAATCACCCTCTCTTAACCCCCACAAGAGAGGAGAAGTGGAGCATGATCAGACCCATCCCTTGATAGATGAACCACCTCAGCTCCCCTAAAGGTACTTAAAAGGTTAGCATTGACAAAAAATCTATCAAGCCTTTTAAAGATACAGTCTTGGTCAATTCTCCCATTCCACCAAGTATAAGGACTTCCTGTAAAATGGATATCTAGAAGGTCATAAGAGTTTACACAGAATGCAAAGTCCTCATTTTCTTGAGGGTATACAGGTAAACCTCCAATATTCTCCTCCTCATGCAATATTACATTAAAATCTCCTCCTATCAACTAAGGGAGAGTCATAGATGAACTTAGGCAGTAGATGTCATCCCACAACGCCTGCATATCCTGAGCATCACATTTTGCATAAACTGTAGTGGTGACTACAGTTTGACCAGTTTCCTGGAAGTGCAACTGTAATGATATTTGTTGTTCAGTGTTAGAGATAACTCCCATCTGTACATGCTCTTGAACAAATATCCACATCTTACCATTTTGATTCAAATTTGCATACTGCATCCCCAATCTTCTTTTGAATCTGTGAATTTGTCTCACTTCCTGGAATGGCTCCATTAAGGCAATAACAACAAATTTATGATATATGTGAAGCATTTGAATTATGTGGAATGAATTTTGAGACCTTACTGATCTCACATTCCAAAACAAAACTTTTATCATCATTTAACACTAGCTTTAACTACCTTACCAGGATTAGCCCTAATTGATTGTTGCTCCACCTTGATTTTAACTTTCCTAGATTTGGGTTTAGTTAGTGGTGATACTCCAGCAAGTGTCAAATCCTGTTCTCTGTGATCTGATTGCTTTCTTCCTCTTTGTCTTCACTTACGGCTGCCTCTGGATGTGATTTCTCATTGTTGACTCTATCCTCTATGTCTTCCAACTGATGTGAGACAATGTTATGCTACACATGAACTGGAGAGACTGTATTGAAGATTGCTAGAGAAGTCTTATCTTTGTATGGAGTCTGACCACCTTGTATCTGAGAAACTACTGGATATATTCCTTCTTTCTTCTTTATGACTTGATTGGGATCATCAATTTGAAGAGGTACTTCATACTCTGTTGTTGCTAATATCTGATGTATTTCTGTGCCCTTCATGATGTGTATATGTTCCTCAACATCACGGCTGACTACCAACTCTGTTACAGGTGTCTCCTGGATACTGGAGTGTGGTTCCTCTTGACTTATCTTATCAAAAACGACTATAGTAGTTATAGAAGTGTTGTCATCTTTGTTCAATTCATCATTCATAGCTGGACAATTGTTTGTAACACTATTATCTAAGGATTTGGCAAGTGCATTTAATTCCTCATTAATGTGGCTCTCATCCCTTTGCCCTGCATCCTGTACCTGTGAAATGTTTTTTGTGGAAGCGTAATATTTTGAAGTTCGCTTCCTATCACTTCCTCTCCCATGCTCAGCCTCTTGTATCTTCTCCTTAGTTGAATCTTCCTCATCTTGTAACACATCAAAAAGGTTCTCAGAAGTGACCTTAGATTGTGGCTCATCCATTAGTTTCCCTTTATCAGCATTGAACCTTCTATTAGTCACAGTCCATTTGGTGAATACCACCCTCCCATTGATGAAACTCACTCTTCTGCCAAGTTTTCTGTCAACTTTTTCTCTTTCAGTTTTGGATGTAAGATTCTACATTCCATTTCCTCATGACCCTGCAGGTTACATATGTGACAACACTTTAGAAGCATGTCATATTGTATTTTAACAACCATAACCCTCGATTTTTTTGTTTTCTCATTGACCACCTCAATCTCCACCAATTTAGGTAATTTAGTTGCCAAGTCCACTTGGACCTTAACCCTTGCACAACTTGGCTGAGTCTTATTAATGGTAGCTGAATCCAATTGAATAGGTTTTCCCACTGCCGATGCTAGAGAGAACGGTGATTCTTACGCAAAGAAAGTGGGAAGCAGATCTGGAAACGAAATCCAGGCCATAACTTGTGTTGTTTCCTTCTCCGACGTAAAAGTAGTATCGTAAATGAAAGTTCTCATTTGATATGCTATACCATCTTTTGTTGTTATGTAATGGACGCTTTTCGACAACATGTTTATGTAATCCTTCATTAGATTGAAACGTATCAAGATGTATCTGTTTCTCAACAATCCTATTTTGCAATCTCCTTTCACTTTGCATTGTTTAGGAATTAAGGTCCTTAATTCATTCAGCTCTGGCCATCCATAGGAAAACTTTCCTATGACAGCTAATTGTAACTCCTCAACTACATTCATCTGTTGAACCTTCTCCTCCGTCCATGTGATTCTTGGTACGCCTTCATTGTATCCAATAGGTCGCATCACCAGTTGTTGTTCTGCCACTTTGTTGCCTTGCTTCTTGCGAATCAGTATAAGAATACTCCTCCCTATACCTCTTCAGTACTATGCATTTTGGGCCACTGGCATTCGTCTCATCATTAATGGAACCCCGCCATAACATATCAAGAAATCCGAAGACCAATCAGGCGTACTCTTTGTTTGTTGTCACAACAGGATTCTTGACAACATTTTTCTCTCTGCACCATTGGATCATCGTATCCAGTCGTTACATACTCTACGACTGAATGATTCCCATTTTGACCCTACAAATTGATTTCTTGGTAATTGAAATATTTAAGATTATTAAACTTATGAACACACTGTCTCTGGTTGCAGCTAAACGAAGATTCTTGATGCATTCTCAGAGAAATGGAGCTGCAAGTTCAACAAATGATGCATTTCTATGCTAAATTTTTTACTGAATTAATATCTGATACTTTGTAATGGATCTATTAATAAGTTAACTGATAAACAGAGTCTTCCTTTTCATCTCTTTTGCTTCGATTTTAATCACCTCTTGTTCTTTTATGATTATCATATTATTTGTTGTTAGGCGTCGTTTGGTTGATGGATAAAAGAATTAACCCCTGGATAATTTTTAAGTGGCCTCTAATCTGTTGTTTGGTTACAAAGGCCAGGATTAACAATTAGTCCTCGGATAAGTTATCCCTCTCTGGGTTGGAATAGTAATCCCAAGAAAACTTATCCTGCAACAAAGTATGTAAAATAACAAAAATACCCTCTTAAACTCTCTTTTCTACACCACTTTACATTCATGTATATTAACATAATTTTTAACAACATTTATAATAACATTCACAATCTTAATTATTCGTTGTTCTTATGATAATATATTTTTCTATTAAAAAATACATTTTATAACTACAATTTTTATTTATGAATATGTTAGAAGTTGGATTTATTTGCCTAACTCTTATGTTTATTTATATTTTGATTTCTCTTAAAATGTTTACTCCACTACTAAATTACATGTTTTTAATTAAATAGTTTACTACTCACTTAAAAACTATTTTTATATATCAATTAAAATGTAGATAACTTTAGTGATAAAATTTATTTTACTTTAATAAACTTAAAATGAAAGCTTTATTTTTAAGCTAAATAAGATGAATGCTTTATTTTAAAACTAAATAAGATGAAAGTTTTATTTTAAAACTAAATAAGATGGAAATATTATTTTTAAGCTAAATAAGATGGAAGTTCTATTTTTAAGTTAGATAAGATGAAAGTTTAATTTTAAAAACACACGGCACAATCATGGAAATGCACACACAAAATATTTAAGCTAAATAAGATGAAAATTTTATCTTTAAGAATGAATAACTAATTAATGCTTGCAAAGAAAATGTAAAAAAAAACTAAATAAGGTGGAGGGTATTATTGTAAACAAACAACTTATTCTTAGAAATTATGCAATAAATATAAGTTTGCATATGACAAACCAAACAAGCAATAAAAATTACTCAATATAACTAATCACAACATAACTTATTCATGTATAACTTATCCCAACATAACTTGTATTCAAACCAAATGGCCCCTTAGTGTTTTATTTCAATTACACCTTCTTTAGATGGTTATTACCCGTTGTATTATATTGTATTATTAGTTTAAATACAATATTTGTTTTGATTGTTACTTAAATTTTATTGTATCATATCGTTTAAACTCATCATTAGATAATACGAAAAGACTCAGTTATGTAACGATCAATTTGGTGTGATTGTGCAATATGCCTAGTGGGCAGAAAACCTCAAATCAACGGAAATCACAACATTAAAGGGAAATAAACAATGAAATGAAGAGAAATAACATAAATATATGTACAACAAGACAAGATTCAATCCCAGACCTTGTAGACCACAGTACAAAGCTACTAAAATGAGTACAAGATCCAAAATAAGTATAGACTTGTCATGAATACAAAAGACAAGCCAAAACTATATGCAGATGGAGATGAGTCAAATTAACTATTCTTTAATATAATTCTTTTGCATGGTACATATTATTTCATCACGTCGAGCATGAGTTGTTTTTTACAAAATTTAATTAAATTATGATTTGAAATCATAATTTTGAATCATATGTCTAAAGCTAATTTAAAATTTATAATTTTCATATCACAGGTCCAAATGCAAGCTAAACAAAATTGCGTACATATGCCATATAACAAAAATTTGCCACGTGAAAGCCAGTAACAAAGGTCTCCCGCCTTTTTAAGTAACTGAATTTTGTTTACATAAGTAACCGCTCAGATTTGCTTCTTCTTCTTCTTCTTCTGAGATCCAAAAGTTACAGAACCAATTTTCCCTCTTTGGCTCTCCGTGAAAATGGCTCTACGGATGTGTGTTGTTTATCATTGCTTCCCTCTTCTTACTCGACTTTTTTATTTACTACAGAATTTTTGGTAAGCATGGGGTCTCTGTTTTCTTTTCTTCTTTTATTATTTTCATACATGGAGTTCTTTCTCTGTTCTTGAATTTTCAATTACTGATTCTGTTTTCTTGTTTTACAGTGAGAATGATGATGAGACATGGAAAAATCATGGAAAACTTTGATCTCCGTATGAACAGGACCCATCTTCTTTATCTTTCGATTCCGAAATCATTACCGGAGAAAACAGAGTATAAAACTCCACTGAGAAAATCCAACTTTTGGGCATCAGCTCGTCAACCGTCAGTTTTAGCAGCACCACCACTGTATCAACAGGCCAACGGCACTACATTTGTGCCACTGAGAAAATCAAACTTGAAGGTCAACAATAGCAGAACTGATATGCCGGAATCACTGAATCACAGTCCAGTTCATCTCGTCTTTTTGGCTCATCCACCGTCAGTTTCAGCAACACCACCGCCGTATCAACAGGAGAATGGTACTACATTTGTACCACTGAGTAAATCGAACTTAAAGGTCAACAATGGCGGAACTGATATGCCGGATCTCTGAATCACCGTCTCTCAAGAGAAATGATGAATACTCAAATTGATTCAAGTTAGATACTGAGAAACACATTTGTCGAATTAATAGCTGATTCTTTGTAATGGAACTATTCATTCATACAAGTAAACTCAAAACAGAGTCTCGCTATTGATTCAAATAAAAATCTTGATTAGCTGTTGCTCCCTTTGATTCGATTTTTGATTACCTATTGTTCTTTTTCGTTCAATTATCATATTATTTGTTGTTGTTAGTATTCTTTACTCGCGTAGCTTCTTTACTATTGTACTCCCGTTTCATACATGCTTGTAAACTGCAAACAAAATGTCTTCCTATTCATTCAAATAAAATGAGTGTGTTCATTCACGCTTCTATTTGTTGACATTTATTTGCCCTGATTTCTTATCATAAATAAGGTTTCTTTTTAGGAAAATATTTTAATATTTTAACTAGTCTTTTTCTTGTAGGAAAGGTTTAGGACTCTATAAATATAAGTTTGTTCCTTCTAATTTAATCAACATTCACAATGTAGTCCTAGGGTTTTGAGAGCTGCGGTTATGGAGGAGAATTTTGTGTACCTCCTTATATTCCGAGTGAATTGGTTGAAGTTGTTTCTCTCTATATTTTGTACTATCATATTTATATTTGATTGCTCATCTCCTTTGTAGACGTAGGTCGATTGACCGAACCACGTTAAATCTATCTCTTTTGATGTGTTTCTCGTTTGTCTTCTTACTCATGGTCTTTCGAGGTTTGCTTTGCTAGCTTCCGCATTACACCTGCTTATTTCAGTCCTAACACTATTTTGATTAATTGTTCTTTTCTTTGATTTGATTATCGGTATATTTGTTGTTATTGTTCTTTTTCTCTATTATTTTCACTAATGTATTCTCTTTGCTTGCATTCTTGTAATGTTTTACTTGAATTGAGGATATATGGAAACAATTTTTCTACCTTCAAATTTTTTTATGTTCTTGGGAGGTTAAAAATGTTTACTCCCTTTGTTTCAATTTATTTAGCC